CTCGCCATTGAATTTCTTGTGTTCCAACCTAGGAGGTTGTGAATTCCTCTTTGGCGTTAATTTTTCGTTAATACTCGATGAACTTGTCGATTCATTCTTCTCATTGAGTACAAAATAAGCTTTTGACTTGCTTCTGATGAACTCGGTACGGCAATATTCTGAAGATGATAACTCCTGTTCAATTTCTTCATATTTTTGAGATTTTGCATGTCATTTTCAAGCATTCATCTGAGGAAAACCCTTGTCTTTTGAAGTACACTTCAAATATCCCATTTTCTGTCCTGTCATGATGCAATTAATGTAAGAAATGGAGTAAATTTTGGCGTGATGCGATTGCAAAATAATCTGCTCATCAACTTTTCAGATAATACTGATAATTCAAAAAAAATTCAACGATTCTAGAATATCGTTCCCATAACGAATACATTCACATGACAATCGATTCAGTGAAAGGCTGCATGAAGGATTAACAATTTCAATTTCCAACAAAAATGCTTCATTACATCTTTGTTTATAATCTGTAACAGAAAGTGAAGCAGAAAGTACAAAACAAAGCGAATATGAAGAAGGACTATGGAGATCCCCAAAATTCTGACGAAATATAACGAGAAACAGCTGAAAAAAAATTTAAAACAGTGTGACTGAAAGTTTATCACTTTCTTCATGAAAATTTCTATAATTGTATGAAATTAAATATTACCTATGTTTCTAACAATTACATGATATATTCCTTTTATAAATAATCAACCCTCATCAAAAGTTTTCCGTATGATTTGATGCCATGGAATTGTTCTAAGTGGAAATTATAACACCAATATTGTCGACTTCCCCTTGAAGAATGAAGACACAATTTCACCCTCTACAGTCCCCTACGCGATGCACTCCTCGCATATATATCATAGTTAAAGAGCCCTAAGGGCGGAGATGTGCCAAGTCAGAGGCGTCACGTGTTACGATCACGATCGTCGTTTTTTCCACCCTCTGAATTTCATGCTACAGGTGTGAGTAATATCGGTGCATTGTTGCTTTATGCATCACAGGAACAATGAAGTTGAATTCATTCTTTTTTTGGTTACCCCAAAACTATTCATAAATGATAAAATTAAAATTTTCGTCAAAGCCCTGTACAATGTTGATAGTTATCTGAGTAAAAATAAAGAAAGATAAGTTTGGAGTATCAGGTGCTTCTTAGTGTTTCCATTTATTTCAGATGAGTAGGCCATGGGTGTGAATAATAGATAATAGTCAGTATGTTGGTAAATACGAGTATGAGGAGCAGAATTTGTATAAACTGATTGACTTGAGTAGAGGAGATATGATCGTGATGCTTTTGTAAATTTCTTTCTATAATTATATAATTAGCACTTTCATGTTCAGCAATGCATTTGTGGTTCAGCCTAGCAGCAGTGATGATACCTATGACATTTAAAAACGGCGCTGTCTGGTGTTGAATCATAAAAGCTTTTGGTTTTCAGCTAGTTTCCTTGCAGTGAAAGACAAAGTACGAACCTCGTCAGCGGTTGATGTCGGAGCTTAGCTTTGTAACTGGCCGCCTTGGGGAGCCTCATTCACGAAGATCGTCCAACAACCGATGAAAATGTTGAGAGAGTGGCTTTTTCGTTTGGCTTTTTTCGGAAATTTTGGGCATGAAGCGTGTGGCAGAGAGGTTCGTTTCAAAATTGCTGAATTTTTATCAAAAAAACTGTCGCATGACATCGCTCTGGAATTGTTGAATGACATCAACGGTAATCCAGATTTGCTCAAAAGGGTCATTGGTTAGGTTATGTTAGGTCCAAAGTGAGTGGGTCTATTCGACCCTCCAATGCAACCCGCTAGGGTTCATTGTGGCTCACACTTATTCACACACGACCAAATAAACTCAAATTCTTAACGAAGCCGATTAGGTTGTATAGTGAGTGGTCTTTCAGGTCAGATGGTAAGAGTACGCATCTACCGAAGTCTAAAAAACCTGATTCGGTCCCCTGCGGGGCAGGAACAAAGTATATGCTCTGCTGTTTCATCGTCAATGAGGTAGTCAGATAGTCAAGGTGCAAGATTCCTACCTTGATACCCGCGACAACCTTCCCATATGAGGGTTTTGGCACGTCAGCTACACCTGACGATGCCTCAGATTCAACCGTGCAGGGCTTTTTTGCCTCTGGTTTTGGTGAATCATCTCTTGAGTGCAAACGTTTGCTGACCTGCTCATGGAGGGTTTGTTCCTCCACCTGAGACAGATTCTGCGTACGCTGCTCAAGAATTTGATGCAAGGCGGTTTCATAAGGTACCCCGCTCTTGATGAGACGACTCGGTCATTTCCTGGCTGCACCACCAAACCTTTTTTTTTAGGTTCAGTTATTGGATCAGGAGTTGAAGAGTTGAGAAGCTCTCGCTCCTGATCTAAATTTACAGGGAGGTCAGTTGGAGTCGTAAGCTCGACATCCATCTCCTCTGTAGACTCGCTCCTGATCTAAATTTACAAGGAGGTCAGTTGGAGTCGTAATCTCGACATCCATCTCCTCAGTAGACTCAGCGTCAGAAAGAATTTTTAAATTCACCCTGTTTATAAAAGTCCCACGAGTAGCTAGGGAAAGAAGATCAATCACGACAGAGCCCCGCATTACCGTGACAAGGCGATGCTACGACGAGAGGGCGCCCGGTATCTCGAAGGTTTCATTGAGACAGCTGATGAGCTCAGTGTCATTCATCCTCTTGGCACGGATACACATACCTTAGGATCAGGTCATCGTTGGGATGCCATTCAATTAAGGAATAACATAACCACAAGTGATTCTGTCATTCCCGTATCCAGCGGGGCTACGTGGAAGCAGCCATCCGATGGCTGGTTTGCTCAACCCCTACATCCCAAGCCAATGTACTCGCCAAAAACAGCATGCGCAGTAGTTCGGATAGTGAAAGATGAACAAGGACAGCCAAGCTGCCTAAAGGGTCATAACTGTTGACGAATCATGGGTATATGGTATCATAGCCAGGGTCCAATCGTTCCAATAGAAGAGCCCAGGAGAGCCAAGCCAAAAAAGCACGCCAAGTTTGATCAAATGTCAAGGATTTGCTCATTGTTTTCTTCAATTAACGTGGCGCAGTGCATCAGAAGTTCTTGCCACATGGTCGTAAAGTCAATAAGAAGTATTATCTTGAAGTTATGCGCCGCTTGAGAGAAGCCGTACGAAGAAAACGTCCGGTATTGTGGGGAAACAATTCACGGCTTTCCCATCACGATAATGCAGCTGCTTATTCGTCATTGCTTGTGTCCTCAAAGGACACCGTAATCAAGGCTCAGCCACCGCATTCACCAGATTTGTCCCCTGCGACTTTTGCAGTCCCCAAAATGAATAGACTCATGGAAGGATGACGTTTTGCGACGATTGAGGAGATAGAAACCGAATCTCTGAGAGAACTCAAAGGCATACCAAAAAGTGATTATCAGAACTACTTCGACGAATGGAAAAAACGCTGGCATAATTGTATCATTTCTAAGGGGTAATACTCTGAAGGGGACAAAATAGAAATTGATGAATAAAGAATATTAAAAATAGAAGGTCACCTGTTGATCTTTGTTTCCAAAAGTCATATAGATAATCGGTCAAGATGTTAACGCCTTCCAAATTTTCAAGCATATGGTGGTTTACGACTTTCTTTATGATTTTTGATATATATCACTAACAGCAAAGCCACTACTCTATATTTATTTAGAAGATTTATCTTGCCCTTTTTGGGAATAGGCTGAATGCGAGACAGGTTGAATGTAAGACAGATTGAAAAGACTGCAAAATTCTGATGCGGGTTTATTAGTGCACTTCTTGATTACGATAACGGGTGGAATTGTGGATTTGTGTGAAATTCTGAATGACAGTTTTAGCTACCGACGAGAAGAATCTAGACCCGTTGAGATTGGCCAGCAGTTTATCCCTAATTCTCTGATTGTGAAGTTCTGTGCTTTCATTTATCCCAACAACAGTAATACAATGAAAACAAGGGAAATTAAAAATTTCAAATACATTATCGTCATATTTTATTTGGATGTTTCAATTTTTCCATTTTTATTTTATTGTTAGTATGTAATCTACATTTCATTCATCATTCAATACATTACACAATTCATTTCAGTTTCAGATTACAACATTTTTCTCATTACAAATTAGTGTTCTCACAATTTTTATTCCATTTTTGTAAAGTCATCTCATTTTTGACATTATTTCTGTATGTCATCCAAATATATTGGTCAAGCTATTTCAGTATAGTTTTATTATTTCTTTCATTTCAATTATATTTTTTCTTCCATAGATTTAAAATCTGTTAACACTGTTTTAGTCAATGGAAATCCGAACCTTTAGTAGCATTCACCAAGAAGTTTTGTCAAACAAATTCAAACAAAAATTCGACGTGAGTCCTTGAATTGATATACAATTTTTGTTTGTGAACTGATTAGAATAAAAGTTGATCTTTTCAAAACACATCAGTGAAAAACTCACCAGAGTTTCCTCTTGAAGATGATCACTTGGTGATCGAAACACGTGTTGAAGTGTTAAAATAATGGTTTGATGTGTGAAAAATAAAAATATTCAACAAAATCTGTTAAACCGCTTCATAAACTAGCGCTTACAAACTCACAGACAAACAGATAAAAAAGACAGAGATCATTTGAAATTTTATTATTTTATCAATTCATTCTATTTTCTGCTCTTTTATTTATTCTTTTAATTGCTCTTTTATTTATTCTTCGGTGAAGATATTTTGATAAAATAATAATTCAAACCATTTTTTTAATTCGCTTTTTGTTTCCTTCACTTTCTCTTTCCCTTTTTTCAGTTAATATATCCCCAACTTTTTTTTTCAAATTTGTATAATTGTCCTTGTATGTATTTCTTGTACTTGTGTAACCCATCATCGAAACTCTCACCGGTTCAATTCGGCTTTTACTCAATATCATCACGAATCTAGTCTGATGCACCTAGGTATAGTAGTTGTTCATATTTCAGATTATTTATCAAGAAATGTCTTGGATGCTCTGAAAGAGTCTCCCCGGAAGAATTGGTGATGAGAGCTAGCGATAATATTTTCCACTTACGGTGTTTTGTGTGCGTTGTGTGTGGAATACGACTACAAAAAGGAGATTTGTACGTCATCAAACAGGGACAATTGTTCTGCAGAGCTGATTATGAAAAAGAAGTGGAGATGATGCAAGGATTTGGTTATGGTAGGGTTATACAATGGCATTAAAAAAAACAAGTAATTTGAAAACAGTTGATGAAATGTCACCTTTTTTCTATTTGTAAGTCTGATTGCTGCACATTGCTTGTTTTCTTCATCTCGAAGTTTACAAACATCACGATATATTTTGAAATTATTATTGGAAATTTTTCTGGAAAGATTGATTTTTCATATAATGAATCAATTTATGACTGATAGCATACCATACACAATTGTTAAACTTTCAGGAGAATTCATTTGCGATGAACTTATACCATCCAGCAGATCTCACGATGGTCGAAGAGGACCAAAAAGGCCAAGAACAATTTTGACTACTCAACAAAGGAGAGCCTTCAAAGCTTCTTTTGAAGTTAGCTCCAAACCTTGTAGGAAAGTAAGAGAAACTCTGGCAAAGGACACAGGATTGAGCGTTCGAATAGTTCAGGTAATAACATTGCTAACAGAGGAATCTATAAGAGACTGATTATATTTTTTCTACTATAACATAAGGTAGATGAATCTGAGTTGTATAATTGAATTCAGAAACTTTCCATGTATTCCTCGCGATTGAAAAAACATTTTGTACTGCCAAAAAGACACTTAGCCAGAAATTTATTTGGTTTACCTCATGGTTGTAAGGGGTGGAAAACGCAACCCCTAAAATTTATTTTCAATGTAACTTTTTGTCTTATTATTTGTTTACCATTTAAAAATTTATTTCCGATAGCCTGTTTCATTCTAAACAAAAAATGTCTCTTGGGTTTTTTGCCCAAAAT